CTTCCCGTCGGCCGTCCCGTCCACCGGCCGCGGCCTCCTGGGCGGCTGTGAGCCCCGCCGCTTGCAGAAGCGGCCGCGCGGAGGCCAGGCTCGTCCTTCGGCTCCTGCAGCTCCTGTGGTGTTTTCCGCTGGTAGGAGTTGGTGGCAGCTGTGAACAGGGCACTTTGGGTAAGGAAAACTGAAGATTCTCGTTTCCCCGTAACGTACAGGTAAAGTGTTTTCTTAAGGGTGATGTCAAGTTTGTCCTAGGGTGTGTTTTCTTTTCCCAACGTCGTATGAAACTCGGCAAAAAAAAGTTCAGAAGGATCGTTCTTAACTACATTAGGCGCCTTGCTTTTAGCTTGCTGCTTTGAAACGTATAGCATTTGATAGCGTACTTTATATATTCTTTTTTGAGAGTTGCTTGTATTTCGTGGCACACTCCTATTTATGTATGAAAGGCGTAGCGTGCCTGGCTGTGCAAACGCTGTGGGCTCGGATTTGTAGGTTGGTTTTTTTTTTTTTTTTAAGTTACCCGCCGTTGCTTCTGCTTTCTCTGTAGGTGCAAGCACAAATGCACATGCCACCCTCTCAGCTGTATCTGCAGCCTATCGCCAGTTCCTAGCAACCGTTAAACTTTCAGCCTTCTTTTCAAGCTGTCTTCCTGCGAGTGCCCCATCGTGGCAACGCCATATCCTCCTTCTTCAGGACTCGGACACTTTGTCTCTGTTTACTTTAAAATTCAGTCTAGGGATTTCCATGTAGATAAGGGAATGTGCGATATCTAGATTTAGGTGAGGAGAAGTCACTACTCACGTGAAAATAATTCTAAGTTGCTTATGGGATGAAATATAGTATGTGTTGTCCCTGAATCTTTGCAGAGGCTCTGATGGGTAGCAAATACCTATTACATATATAAAAGTAGTATAATCAAGTTTACATGAACATGTGATGACTGCTTTTGCCACCCTGTATAAGCATCAGTTTCTCCAAATACACAGTGCCTTCAGCTTCCCGTGTATGATTACAGTGGCTGCTCATGGTAAATACTTCCCAGTTTTTTACACAGGCAACAAGTAAATGGCAATGACATTCTGCTGCTGCATTGATTTACTTCCATAAATATATAACGCATTATTTGGATGAGTAATTTTGACATTCTTTTGTAGGTAAGTTTCCTTACATTTGAATTTGAAGATGCCGCTCTTTGGGAATATTATTGTAATTAAACGGAATGGGACTGATGGAATTAGTTTTCCACTCACTGCAAGTTCTTGTTTATTTGGAAGGTGAGAATTAGTTGACTACTTGCATACATCAAAATAACATTTGGGATATTTTTTCCTGCAAAGTACATGTTTTAATACTTGCAAAAATAAATGTTTGTTTATTTGTGACTGATGTTCAGCGGAGGGGAAGTGATACTGGACTAAGGTTAATTGTAAGACTAGAAAGCTGAACATAATTTTTGTTACTGCTTTTTGTCCTTTCCTTGCCAGAACTGCTATTTTTTGTTAAAGTTTCTGGCCAAAGGAAATCTGGGGAAGAGATTGAAAGTAATACACAGTTGCCAAGCAAGTGATGGTATTCTTCTATCCAGAAGCAGTTTCCAGATAATTGGCTAGTGAAGAGAAATGAGGCACATGGCTTGTATTTGACTATCTTCATTACATCAGTGCTCTTCTCAATTTTAATTTTTTTTTGTTCTCCAAAATCTCAGTATTGGACTATGTCAGCCAATACACAGAATTAATATTAAAAATTAATAAGAACTTACACCTGCTTCTCCAATCTTGAAACTCGCTTTGACTTACACAGTTGAGTGACCGTGGGTTTTGAGCTTGATCCAGCTATTTTACGTTAAAAGATAAAAATCATATACCTGAACGGTACATGTTAAGACTTGACTAGGTGATCTTACTATTAATAGGCTTCAAATAAAATGTTTCTACTTCTCTTAACTAGGTCTGTTCAGCACTTTACTGGCTGATAGATATCTTGTATAACTGTAATTATTCAGTCCAGAATCAGATTCCATTGTGAAAGTCTCTGGGAATCACCCCAGTGTCAATAATACTGTTCTTTAGCTTCAGCAGAGTTGCCCAGACAGGTGATACTTAAAGATACAAACGTTAATTTCTGTTGGCTGCATCAGTGAGAGGTGTCAGGTACTTCTGTGAACACTACCTCTAGTATGATAGCTGATATGTTTGCTGCCTAAGACCCAACAACATGTCAAAAGCGTTAAGAGATTAGCTTGAAAAAAAAAAAAGAAAGAAAAAGTCTGTACTCTCAAAAACACAGCTTTCACTTACTAACAATTTCTAAGAAGGTAGAAGTGGCTATCCAGGTGAGACCAAAAGTCCATCTACACAGTATTCTGTCTCTGAGAGTGGTTAGTAACGAACGCGTAAGAGCAAGCTTAAGAGCGCCTGCTACTATATTCTAAAAATATTCCGCAGGTCTTTGGTAGCTTTGAAGTCAGGAAACAGGTAATTTCAAACCACCAGATATCTGGTGTAGACATGTCTCTTTTGACTTGTTGTGAACTGCTTTTTTTCAGAATTTTGATATTTCACATGTTTTTCTGGTATGGATTCTCTAAGGTAGAAGCGTGAGCTCCTGTTATTTTTCGCTACAGTTGAAAGACTTGGGTAGTTCATTTTCTTCATATTCTCAAATTTAAGAGAGTAGTGTGATGCTGTACGATTATTAGCTGAAAAGTTGGGAAATCACTTAATTCTATAGCAGCTAGATTTTTCCTTCTTTTGTGTGTCTTGAAACTCAAATTATATTTTTACCCGCAGGAGAACAGAATGTGATATTCGCATCCAGTTGCCTCAGGTCTCGAAAGAACATTGTAAAATTGAAGTAAATGAAAACAAGGAGGTAAGATATGCATATTTTAATGATATATGCATTGCATCGTTGCATCTCAGCAGACTACTGAAATGTTTGTTTTATTTTTAGGCAATATTGACTAATTTAAGTACAGTAAATCCTACGCAGCTGAATGGTGCTTGTTTTCAGCAGCCTGTACCTCTGAAGCATGGAGATGTGTTAACTATTATTGATCGTTCTTTCAGGTAAGTGGCAATGACAAACTGTTAACGCCTCAATCCTAGAATGTGTTCTGCAGGCAAACAATGCAGAGTGCTTTATGGACGCCTGCTCTTACTGGTGCTTGAAGATACAGAAGATGAATGTAGATAAGTGGGAAAAATTAAAACGTCATTTTACCATCTTGAGAAACAGAAGTTAATCTAGTTTATTTCATATTTCTTTACAAAGTATTAAGAGACCTTCTTCAGAAGGCAGGATCGCTTAAAGATATTTTTGTTCTTGCCAGTTTTATATTACGTTAAGCCAAACCAATAAAGATAGAATTCTCTAGAGAGATCGTTTTGATTTGGTTTCAAGGGTAGTCAGTTTTAGGGGGAAATTAAGAAATATTTTGATGTAGTTAAAGCCCTTAAAACTGTTATTTGTGTATCGCTGGGAGTGGACAACTGTTGCTAGGTCATTTATCTTAATAATGGGAATTCAGTCATCAGCTATTTGACAAAAATGATAGTCTTAATTTTTAATTATTTCTTCCAGATTTGAATATCCTCTCCAATCAACTCCAAGAAAGAGGCGTTCTAGGACTCCAAAAGATGAAACGCTGCAGGTAATTTTGTGGCAATTTGTTACAAGTATGTTGGTATTAGTAGTGATACAATGTTCTGTTTCATTGGCCTGTTTTCTTCTTAGGAGTAATTTTTCAGCCATAGACTGTCTTTCTGACTGAAAGTACAAGTAAACTCCTTCAGATAAATACTTTTTAAAAAATTAATAATTTATTAATTTTAGACTTGCAGTTGCTGGTAGTAGGTAATTAATAATCTATGATGTTACTAATACAGGTAAGCTATTAAAAATTAATCCTTAGTTTTTTCAAAGAGAAGGTGGGATGCAGGAAATACAGAGTATGGGCATTGGATATTCTTGTACTTTAAATGGGGAAGATTGCTCTAGAGAATAAGCATTCTTTTTTTCAAAAATAATCTGTTGTTCTATGAGCTAGTACACTAACGTATTGTTGGAATTAATAAATATCAAACTAAACCTATCTTTTAATAATTTATTTTCATTAGTTTCTTTTTTTTTTTTTTGTTCTCAGCAAAACTTTCTCCCTTAAAAGGGATAGTGTTAGTTTGTGAGTACTGTGGCTATGGAAAGTTGCGGGGGGGGTGGGGGTGTTATGTTATAGTTCTGTTATTTAAATAAAAATCATCCAGTAGGTCTGGTAAGAAGGAGAGATTCAAATGTGCCTGTATATTTTCTTATGTACAGTTGCTTTTAGAGCTAATAATTTCAATGATAAAACAGGACATAAACTCTTGCCTTCTAGAGCCTCAAATGTGTATTGGTGAATGTTCTTAAACTTTGAAATATTCTAGGGTTTCTTTTGAATACTATTAAGGCTCTTTAGTAAACAATGCATATGCTTTTATAAATCTAGTGTTTTTCAATGTCCAGTTGAAAGCTAAACTGTAAAATATTTGTTGCTCTGCTGTAATATTGTACAAATTTACAGGTTCTTCATGTTCAGCATTTTTTTTTTTCAGCAGGTGGCAGAAGTGGAATCATTACACAAACAAACTTCAAGACCTAAAAGTCTTCATGCTTCAGGTTGGTACCTGGTTTATGGGGAATTTTTTTTTCTTCCTCCTTAACTGCATTTATTCCTAGCATAAGAGGAAAAACAAGGTTGAAAAAAGCAAAAGAAATGCATTTTAAGACTTTTCAATCTGACTACAATACACCTTGTTATGTCAGTGTACTATCTTACCATACTTAGATGCTGTGATTTACGACGGCGAAGTCCTGCCAGGAGAAATCCACTTAATTGCATCCTGACAAATGGGCAGTAACAGCCTGGAATTGGCAAAATCCACATATACTGCTTTAAGTCAGTTGTGCAAATTCAGTTTATGATGATTGTGGCTGAGAAAGGAGTTCAGTACACCAGCATTGCAAAGGCAATACAAATGTCGGTTCCAACTGATATGTGAAACAATTGCGTATTACATTTTACTTTTCAGCAGTATCAAACATATAACATGGCAAATTCACCTTTGTGATTAAAATTTGCCTTGCAGTTCTCTGCTGACCTACAAAACAGCTAGATCCCTTTTGAGCAAATAATGCATTATCTCATGTATTCTTTCCCAATAAGAAATTGAAACCGGTATAATTTTAGAGATATATGGGAAGGGTTAATTTTGCTCATAGAAATAATAGTTTACAATAGCTATTTTGTACAGGCCCAGTAAAAATCTTCTAGAGCTACTAAGTCTGGGTAGTTATAGGCCATGGACTGGTTAAATGGCAGGACTCCACCTTCCCATCCTTCTTGTTTTAAGTAATGCTACTTTCATGGGAATATACAAGGTTTCTTAGATGGAGACTATTTATCTACAGACAGGTTTGTTGTTTGTGACACATTTGTTCCAGTGCAAAAAACCCATGGTATTTCAAAGTGTTCCATTTCAGTGTGGTGTTGTAAGCGCATCTGTATTCACAGGATTTGGGTAATAGGTTCCCCAATGCTGTCCTACAATGCAAGTCTTTGCTTCGTTGTTCTGTCAACTTTAATGGAACAGCTTGTCAGCTCAGTAAAGAAAACAGTGATGTACTTGTTTGCAATTGGGTAAAAGCTTTCATAGAAAGATCTAATTTCCTGTTCTTTCCTATGTCTCTCTTCTCCCCCTCACTCCTTTTCCTGGAAGATAGTTGTCAGGCTTTTCCTTGTATGTCAGAGTTTGTACCTTCATCTTTGCATGGGCTATTTCCCATCACAATTAAGAAAAATCAACATGTATCAGCATTTGTTTCAGCAGATGTTCATGCTGACATAAAGTAGTGTTTAGAAATACACTTTGTAGATGTATAGATGCACACAAGGTCTCAGCTTCTTGTGGCTGAGAAAGACACCTCTTATCAGATGAACTCTGTTAGCTTGCGTACACCCCTTGGTCACGGAAAAAGCAAAGTGAAGCATGCTACTGCATAGCTTCCTTGGATACAGTTCACAGATTGCAGTGGAATGGCTGCACACATGCAGTCACTTGCTTTGTCTCATCTGGAAAGTGGCAGCTGTGCTTCATTGCCTGGCTTTACCCTAAAGAAGGATTGCCACAGCTTAAGGAATATAGCGCCTCTGTAAGCACAGGACAGAAAGCAGACTAAATAGCGGTAAGCCGATATCAATGGTGGCTTAATTCTATGCTCATACATTTGTCTCATGGCAGCCCCAAAAGATGTATATGAGCCATTGATTCTGAAGAAAAGCAAAAGCATGAAATACCAAGTGCCTTACCTAAATATGTGATAAATTCCAGATTACAACTTTAAAATTTATGTTAAACCGTTCAATACTAATGCTTCTGTTATAAGATAAATTATTACTGTTTAAAGCTTTATTTACAGTACTGTATCCTGGACCTTGGTTGACTGTCTTGGGAGAGGAAAGGAAGGAATTTTTATCTGTGTTTATGGAACTCTTATTTGTGGTTCTGCAGTTTTTAGGTAATTCTGCATCTGTATTACTTTTTGTTTTGTTTTGCTTTACTTTGTAGATAATGCTGAGTGGGAAGAAAAAAATGCCAATGAAAGTAAACAAAGTACAGAGGAAAATATTTCCAGAGCTTTACCCATCAAACTACAAACACCCAAATCTGCACACAGAATACATCAATCTATTAAGCAAAATGAAATGTCTCCCTTTAGTAAACTTTATGAAAAACTGAAACGAGAGATGAAAGTGAAAAAATTGCTGCAGGAGGGAAATGTATCTCAACAGTCTGCAAAAGAAGATGGTAGGATGGTAGAACCAAGTGCTCAGATTTCATCATCAAATTGTGTTTACGATCTGGGAAGCCTGACTAAAGAAAAAGAAATAGACAAAAGTGAAAATATTGAAGAAAGTAAAATAAAAGTAAAGCAAGAAGTAATCAACTCAGAATTTAACCAGATCTTAGCTGTAGGAAGTGCTACCAGGAAGAGTTTTACCAGAAGTCCTCGAACTTCTGTTTCAAAGGAGGTGTCAAGAGATGTTGGTAAAAGTCACTCGCAGGATCATAAGGAGCTAAGCACACCAGGCAAATCTAAAGGTACTGAAGTTACAACCACACCCAGTAAGGAGGATGATGGAAATGGAAATGCAGCATTTTTACTGAAGCAGTGCTCTATAGAATGTTTGGATTATACAGATAAAAGTAAAATATACGGCTCTGCAATAGAATTAGATAAACTAGCACAAACAACTAACACAACAAATGTTCTGTCTACACCAAGGCCCAAAAGGAAGAGTCCTCGGTCTCATTTCATATCACCTACCAAAGAAACTAGTGGAGTGAATCCTGCAGATACAGATGCTCCAACAACTCCAAAACGTGTGTTGTTGAAACGTAAATCTTTTTCAGAAATTGCAGCTGAAACTCAAAGGCAAGATTCAGTGTGCAGAAACGATAGCCTCAAACAACTGCCTTTGGCAGAAAATAAATGCTTAAAACAAAGACGGAATAGTAAACAACACACACCAGGAAAACCTGTAAAAGAAGTAGTGCTGAAAGAAATTTGTGATCAGGCAAACTTTGTTACCTCAACAGAGGGACATTCTGAAACTCCTGCCTCTTTCTCTAATTCCAAGAGTCCCAGAAGAAATAACAGGCAAAGTAAAAAATTATTAAACAAAAGTGTCCATTCAGAGACACTGGCTTCAGAAGAGTTAACGTCAGAACTGGCATCTCCTGCTAGTCAGAAATCTGACTCTGGAAGAAAAAGAGGTGCGCCAAGGACGTCTGGACTGCTAACTGAAAAATCTTTGGAGACAAATGCTGTTCAAGAACATCGTGATAAGACTACGGACAGAAAAGAGAGTGGAACTAAAGAAGAGCTGGCCGCAAAGGGGTATCATCAGAAACAAGATTTGGAAGATGCCAGTGTTATGAGACCTCGTAGACTGTCATCAAAGAGAAGGTCTTCTGGAAGTGCTACTGTACCGAAAGACGATGAAGCAGTCTCAGAACTGAATATTTCTGGCGTGTTGGCTGAAGAAGAATCAGGTAAATATGCTTAATCCCCTGCCTCATTGTTTTTGTACGTGACAAATTCTCATAGTGTTTTTATGAGAATTTTTCCACTTACATAAAATGTAGAACTCATTGCTGACTTTAGTTGTGCAATATTTATTATGTAATCATATTTGACTAAAAATACACAATAATATGCATAAAAGTTTACTCAATTGAATCTATTTCTCTTTAAGGTAAGTTACCTTCTGATATGTTTCCAACTTTAAAATGCGAGAGTAAGCACTGTTTTCTATATGGGTTAAAATGTTGACCTTGGATTCTTGGATATATAGAAATATTTTCAGTTGTTATTTTTAGGCAAGACAAAGAGAGTATCTCAGAAGAGGAAAAGTGGCGATTTGTTACCTCAGCCTTTAGGAAAAAAGAAGAGAGTATCTTTCGGTGGCCAGCTAAGTCCAGAACTTTTTGATAAAAGTTTGCCTCCCAACTCGCCCCTTAAAAAAGGTGCGACTCCTGCCAGACTGAGCCTGCCGTTTGGAAACTCGCCGCGTGCTGTTCTCAAAAAGGCTCAGGGATTGAAGCGCTTTGCAGTCCAGGTAAACATTAAGAGTAATGAAGTTGTTAAGACAGTTAATGTGAACAGAATTTATAACTTCTAAGACTTCTAAAAATTAAAAATTAGTAGTGAACCTGGTTAGATGTATGTTGGGAAGTGGAAATTTTAATTGCAAATTTGAAATCAGCATTTTTTTTACTTCTCCATTGTGGGAGAGGGCTTAGTTTACCCTTTATATCTACTTGTCTTTATACAGGAGGTGTGTTTTTATTCACCTCACAAACTATTGCTCATTCTCATGCATATGTAGGAATATATTTCTGTTGGTGCTTAGCAGCAGTGTCTACAAACTCCAGTTTACCATAAATAACAGAAAACAGAACAGTAGTTTGTTGGCAGACTGTGCAAGCTACTGCCACGTAGTTTGGCTAGAAGTTTGAAAACATTTCCTGTTGATTTAAACTAATTAAAATATGCGTAGTGTACTTGGTGTGAACAAAACTTTGAATAAAGTGGAATTATGAAATCAGTTAATTCAATTGAATTTGCATGTGTTTTGTGAGACTTTTGAAATTTAAAACTTGTTACAAGTTCGTTTTCATAGAATGACATTTAAGGCTTTTTCAAATGATCTGATGATATTTCATATTATTGTATTTACTTGTTAGAGATGTCGATGGGTGTTTGCAGTTCAGGTATGTGCAGTAACATTTTATCTTTATGTATTTTTTTTTTCTACCAGGAACTTTCTGAACATTTGCTGAAAGAAAAAATGTCACCAAAAAATTCGCCATCCCGGAAGTCCCCAGCTGCCTTATCCCCTGCCTCTGGGAAGGCAACACCTAAATTGACTTTAGGCTCTCCAGCCCCTTACATAAAAGGACGTTTCTCTGTTTCTCACATCACAACACCGTTACCGATTGCAGAAGAGAAGGATGCTGTTGCAGAAGATGTGAATACCAATGAGAAAAATGGTGCCCGAGTGAGAACGCCTAAATCTTCTCACATTAACGAAGATGGTAAAACCTCTTTAACAGCCACACCTGACAAATTAACGAGAAGTGCACAACTTGCTTTGAAGGTCACGCCCATGAAGAGGAGAAGTGGGGCTGTAGCAGTTATCAATTCAAAAAGAAGAAGTGGTGCCTCTAGTGCCAATTTACTAGGTTTGTTTCAGCAGTTAATTTTTAATATTAATTTTAGTTCTTTAAAATACAGGAACAAAACTGAAGTAGGCCTATTTTGTCACGCAGAGGCCACCAAAGGATTGGCGTATCTTCTGATGCTTGTTGGTCTTGTTGGAAACCACTGGGAATTGCAAAGTATTATTCCCTCATATTCATAAAGCAAATTACTAAAGCATATATAAAACTGTATTTAGAACACGAATGTTAATGTTCAGAAGTTGAAACATGATAGAATTAAAGTTCTGCTTGCAAAGTTAGTTGCAATAGTGATCCTTCAAGTCCTTCAAGTTCACGTAGTATTAAACTAAATCAAATTCTATCCATTACACCGGTTTAGATTTGAAAACATGCCTTTATAGCCATCTAGCTTCAGTTTGTTTTCTTTGTACCTACAACTTTGGTTCACAACCGTTGTCCATGGACTGGACTGACTTTAATGTTTACAGTGGTATATAACAGATATAATTAAAAAATAGGATAACTGGGTGTTAATATGAATATGTTGAAATCGAACATTTGAATTTGAATGTTGAACACTAATTTGAAGTAGTTTTAACAGCATTGGAAACATTAAGATGGGGGAGCTCTGGTTCTTGAAATTTTTATCGTTGAAGAAACTTACAGATAAGGTGTCTTTGTCATCTGTTGTTGCAAATTAAATCAATTTGACTTTTTCAAAAACAAATTTAAAGCTTCCCATCAACACCACCATTCACTCAGGAATTTTTATTGCTCTTTACTATCTCCATTCTTTGTGGTGTCATTTGAAAATTTTGAACAACATACTACATACAATGTCCCAATGATGGTCTCATGATTATTATTACACAATGAGATAAAATCAGAAGCTTTCACAGTACATCCTGGTTAATATAGCTGAAAGTGGTATTAGTCTTTTAGTGAAATAAGTGGGGGTTTTTTTCAGTGGTTTTGGTTGGTCCATTGATTTTAATAGCTGCAGAGTACTTCACAAATATTAATGACATACTGTTTTTTACCAACCCTTTGTAATGTCTAAGTGGTTTAATATCAGTGCATCAGTTTCTTCAGTAATATGAGAAGAACACCACAGTTCTTAAAAAAATTTTGGATATCTACTTTGTATCCAAAATAAAATTTGCACTTCCAGTGCTTTTTCAGATAATTTCCTGCATGGTTGGCATTTTTTTATGTATCCTGAACTCCCTAGCAATGACAGCTCTTCAAAGTTATTTTTTTTTATTTACTAATCCCAGCTTGCACAGCAATTCTGACAAGAGAATAATAATATCATTTTCTTCAGGAATGACATTCCCCTTTTTATGTCTACTTAAAAAAAGTAATTGTTTCTTATATATGATCCTTATCTTCTCATAGCCTATTTCTGAAGTAAACAAAGTAGATGTCCTACCAACTTACAGCTTCATTTATTACACAGCTGTAAGTAATTCCCCTATTCCTCTACTGTGTACAGAATGATGCTGTGATAATGGTAACTTTGCTTTGGGATTTTTCAGAATATGTTATAACAATAACGTGATGTAAGAAAAAATATGGAAGGTCTGTGTCAGTCTAAATGGTGTAAGCAATATAAAAAAATAATTTCCTGACTACAAAATTCCTTGGGAAGGTGGTGAAAGATAAGCTCGACATGTTTCACTTAGAAGTCATTTCTCTGATGCTACATCTCATGTCCCAGCAGGGAAAAATTCAGGCATATTAATGAATAAGACTGAAAGTTCCTATTGGGAAAATTTATTTCCTTACAAAAAAAAATTAGGTCAGAATTGGGTCAGCATTCAGCTCCAGGATCTAACATCTATTTGATGCTTTATGAAGCTTTTAGTTGTTGTTTTCTTGTGGAAAGCTATACTGGGTACTTGGACACTTGCTAAACTTCAGCTGAAATTGGGTCTTCCAATTGAAAGCGTTTCACAGAGCACTTTAGTATTGGTATTGTCAGGTGATACAACAACTGCTTTCCTATGGCTGACTGCAGCAAATCCATTGGAATCATAAAGAAATAATTGTGAACTTCCATTTATACAGATGAAGATTAAAGTGGTTATTTCTTTTTTGCTTTCTAGTTGTAAAATCTTGGGCAGAAGTGGTAAAATTAGGTGTCGCAAGACCACAGTCAAAGACCGCTAAAAAAAGTGTCCGAAAAGGAAGATCCCTAAAGAAGATAACCCAATCGCCAAAGGTATTGTTTTTCTTTTTTCATGTTTCTTTTTTTTTGTTTTTGTATAACCACAAAACAGCTTGTAGGTATTTTGCTATAGTATGATGTTAAATGGGTGTTGATGTCTTTGTCACAACATATAAGAAATGTAGTTTTTATATAAAAGGAATCTTTGTTTGCTGACTTTTTTTGTTATTTTTCCCCTCTGCAGACTCCAGAAAGAAAAATAAAAGGTCATTGTAGTACAGGTCATGCAGAGTCACCTGCTACAATAGTTGTAGGTAGAGCTTATTCCACCACAATCAGAACAGCTGGACAAGTCCCTAAAGTGGTAAAAAATCCTATTTTGAAGCTAAACATGAACATGGATGAAAGCTTCACAGGTAAGTTTAAAATCTGTTGCTCGCTTTTCCAACTGTGCAGTTCTTTTGTCAAAGCATGTGCTCATTTCTCTAAATATAATTTATAGGAATGACTGAAATGTTTCAAACTCCAGAAAATAAGAGTGGAAAATCATTACCTTTGGCCACTGTTCAGAAGACTGATTTTACACCAACATGTACTGCAGCAGAAATTTCTGAATTGCACACTCCTGAAGAATCTGGTACGTTTGTTACGTGAAACAAAAGGAAATGTTTCAGTAAAATTAGGGGTAGTGGTGTGTCTGCTACTTGAGACAGTGAGTAGTCTCTGCCTAGGCAGGCTTGATGTATAGAGATGAAGCATCTGGCAACCCCTAAAAGGAACCATTGATTTTTATCGCGTATTAAAAGACATTTTTGTAGTTCCAGTTAATTTTGTGATAGCTGTTATTCTCTTATTTGTTCTATTTGGTGTGAAACTTCAAGGTGTTGAAGTATTGTTTCAGGCAAGTCTTGCGCTGAAGCACTATACTTCCTTAATCAGTTGTCTCTGGCTACATCTAAGTCCAGTGACAAAGTTTTATGCCAGGGAGCAGTTATTGTCTAGTCTTGCAGAAAAAGTCTATTTAAAATTCTATTGAATTTAAAAGTCTATTTAAAATAAATAGTGTCAGGTTAAGAGGATTTGTATTAAGATGGTAATTTGTCGTGCATCTCTTGCTAATAACCTTGCATACCAGTCATTGTGTCCCTGTATAACTCAGAACTCTTGAGGTTAAAGTTCTGTTTTCTTAAGAACTTAACAAAACTGAGCATCTACTGAAACACCAAGAAAAATCAAGGATAAATCCTCCAGTATTTAAAATAAAAATAGTTGAAATGTATTTGGGTTTATTTCAGATGTTGTGGAAGATAGGCTTAGATATAACAAACCTCGTTATAACTTCAGAAGGAAGTCTAGTAAAAAATGTTTTCTTTGAAAAGAAGAATGACTATAGTGATCTTCATCCACTTGAAAACGTCTGTTGTCAGCTGTTATTTATCCTGTTATTTAGTGCTTTCCTTAAACCGGTGGGCAAGCAGGCTGGATGAGCAATAGGCTAATGGGTTGTGTTCAAAAAGTTATAGCAAATGGGGTTCCATCAGGCTGGTGGCCAGTCACCGGTGGGGTCCCCCAGGGCTCAATTTTAGGGCCAGTGCTCTTTAATGTTTTTATAAATGATCTGGACACAGGAATCAAATGTTCATTAAGTTTGCTGATGATACTAAACAAGGAGGAGCTGCAGACTTCCTTGAGGGTAGAGGATTTATAGAGAGATCTTGATAGACAAGAGAGCTGAGCAATCAGCTAATGTATGAAGTTTAAGAAGAGCAAGTGCCAGATTCTCCACCTGGGATGGGGTACTCCTGGTTATACATACAAATTAGGGGATGAGACGCTGGAAAGAAGACCCACGGAAAGAGATCTGGGGGTTTGGGTTGATGGTAAGCTCAACATGAGTCAACAGGGTTCCCTGGGAGCCAAAAGGGCCAGCCATGTCCTGGGGTGCAACAAGCACAGCATAGCTAGCCGGTCGAGGGCTGGAGCACCTCTCCTATGAGAAGAGGCTGAGAGAGTTGGGGCTGTTCAGCCTGGGGAAGAGAAGGCTCCGGGGAGACCTTATTGCGGCCTTCCAGTGCCTAAAGGGGCTCCAGGAGAGCTGGGGAGGGACTTTTTACAGGGGCATGGAGTGATAGGAGGAGGGGGAATGGCTATAAACTGGAAGAGGGCAGGTTTAGATTAAACATTAGGAAGAAGTATTTCACTGTGAGGGTGGTGAGGCACTGGCACAGGTTGCCCAGAGAGGTTGTTGAGGCCCCATCCCTGGAGGAGTTCAAGGCCAGGCTGGAGGGGGCCTTGGGCAACCTGGGCTGGTGGGAGGTGTCCCTGCCCATGGCAGGGGGGTTGGGACTTGATGATCTTCAAGGGCCTTTCCAACCTAAACCATTCTATGATTGTCCCACTCTGCACGGCACTGAGGCAGCCCCACCTCGAGTGGTGTGTGTGGTTTTGGACACCTCAATATAAGAAGGACATCAAACTATTACAGTGTGTTCAGAGGTTTCTTCAGCTTGGAGAAGAGAAGGCTGAGGCGTGACCTCATCACAGTCTACAACTTCCTCAAGGCAGGCTGCGGAATGGGAGGCGTTGATCTCTGAGCAGTGATAGGACACAAGGAAATGGAATGAAGCTGCATCAGGGCAAGTCCAGGTTGGACATTAGGAAAAGGTTCTTCACAGAGAGAGTGGTTGGTCACTGGAACAGGCTCCCTAGGGAAGTGGTCACAGCACCAAACCTGTCAGAGTTCAAGGAGTGTCTGGATGATGCTCTTAGTCATGTGGTTTAGTTTTAGGTAGTCCTGTGAGGAGCAGGTGGTTGGAGTCGATGATCCTTGTGGGTCTGTTCCAACTCGAGGTATTCTACGATACAAATTTTACAAAAATCTCTTGTCATTTTTTTCTTCCTTTGTGTCAGAAAGGTCAAATGTGTTCTTTAATGTAAAAATTTCTGATCTATGTCTGTTATTGCTTAAAAACACAAAAGAAACTGCACTAAAAAACTTGTACTACTAGAAATTTTAGGGACAACAGAGAATGCTAATTTTAAATCAAATAAGAAAAAAAAATTCTTATGGTCAGTTTTTTAAATGCATGTTGTGCCTTGTCAAAGCTAATTACCAAATCAATTGTTGATGCATACTTCTGGATTTTGGTTTCTAGAAGGCTCAAGGTGTTTGAATCCATTTTACTTAGTTATACAGCAGTTAGAATGCTTGGATTTTCTGCTTAATTCTTTTTCCAAATTACATATATCTACTACTTATTGCAGGAGAGATGATGGTGTCACCGTTAAGTAGTTCAGATGCTTCAGAACAGAAACAAGACAGTCCAGGCATTTGTCACTTGCTGAGAAAGGAGTCTCTAAACTCTGTGTTTGATGCAATAGCCACAAAAACTCCTGAAAAAAGAAAAGCTATACTGGAAGAAGATAGTAGTATGGATCGTTTGTCAATAATTCCAGCAAAACAAGCATGTCGGGTGAAATCAGGAAGTAAAAGGAGTACTCCAAAGCAGAAGTTGGAGCCAGCTGAGGTCATGTCAGGCATCAAGCAGCTTTTAAGGACCCCAGAGCAAAGGTCAGAACCAGCAGAGGCCTTGTCAGGCATCAAGCAGCTCATGAAGACTCCAAAGAGGAAGTTGGAGCCTTTAGAGGCTTTGTCGGGCATCAAGCAGCTCATGAAGACCCCGAAGCAGAAGCCGGAGCCTGTAGAGGCTTTGTCGGGCATCAAGCAGCTCATGAAGACCCCGAAGCAGAAGCCGGAGCCTGTAGAGGCTTTGTCGGGCATCAAGCAGCTCATGAAGACCCCGAAGCAGAAGCCGGAGCCTGTAGAGGCTTTGTTGGGCATCAAGCAGCTCATGAAGACCCCGAAGCAGAAGCCGGAGCCTGTAGAGGCTTTGTCGGGCATCAAGCAGCTCATGAAGACCCCGAAGCAGAAGTTGGAGCCTGTAGAAGATTTGCTGGGCATTAAGCAGCTCATGAGGACGCCACAGCAAAAGCCAGAACCAGTTGAGGTCCTGTCAGGCGTCAAGCAGCTCTTGAGGACCCCACAGCAAGAGTTGGAACCTATCACAGATGAACCTGCCTTTAAAAGATTGCTGAAGACTCCAATAGAAAAAAGGGAAGGAGTGAAAGATGTGGCAGGTGTTACTTTAATCAAGAAAACTCCAAAGTTGAAGTATCAACCAGTAGAAGACATGATTGGTGTCAGCCGTATTTTCAAGACACCAAAGGAAAAAGTTGAACCCATAGAAGATGTGTTTGGTATTAGTAGACTAGTGAAGACTCCGAGAGAGAAGTATCAACCAGTTGACGATTTTGTGGGTCTGCAAAGGCTTATGGCAGAACCCAGGCAGAAATGTTCTGATTTTGAAGTGGACTATGTTGGAGTTCCAGAAATGTTTGATACACCAGAGGAAATGAAGGTAAAATACTGTCTTTAGCGTTTGGAAGGAATGTATTTAGACCTTGAAGCCTGTGGTGTAAATGAATTCTCGGCTTCTGAGTGTGTCATCTTGTATGTAACAACACTTCAAATATGTCATGCCCATAACCTCTTGAGGAAAAGATACCTTCTAGAAAAACACCTCCTGTTGATTTGAAAACTGTAAAGTTGACAGTCTTTGTTTTTTCTTGATAGCTTTGTCCAGGTGAATGCCCCTCTGCTAGAAGACATAGCTTATTACAAATTTGAATCCGAGCACTTTCTTTTTTCTGGTCACTTGTTCCTGTTACGTTTAAAGCACCCTTTAACTTGCTTACAAACTTTAGTCAAATTCTTTCTCAGCCTTCCTTTTCACAAGCAAGGCATATGGTTGGTTTTTTTTTAATTTTGTACAGCTGCTTCATACACTATAGATTAAATTTTAAGCTCTCTTTTTCCTTGCGCATCCAAAAGTGTTGAGCATTTGACAAAATATGTTACCATGTGATCAGCTGATAGCTCCCTATGCCCCTAAGTCTTTCATTCATTGCTTCCTGAATGCATGAGTATTTTATAGAGATAGCTTTATTGCTGTACATTTGCCTATGTTAATTAATATGTATTTTCTTTGAAGGAACCCTCCCTAAGTAGTTACTGAGGTTGCTGTGGATGACCATTCTGACCTTATAATTCACAGCTTCATCATTCTTGTCATTTGTGAATTTTATTAGTATTGATTTTTATGTTCATTCCCAGATCCATAGGTAAAATGTTGAGTATCACTGGGCTTAGTGTTCATCAGTGTAGAACTACAATAGACCACTACAAAATACTCAAATGATTGAGCTTCCATACTGCAGATTCCTTTTGAGCACTCATTTAAACACTTTTGAGCCAATTTAATTAATACTTTTTTTAAATCTATGCAGTGTTTGTTATCTTTCACTTTAAAAACGGCCACAATAGCTCAGATGTCAAGTATTAGGTTTGATTTTTTTTCTCTGTGTGTGTGCCAATTTAAAATAACGGATGCAGTTACAAAACTAACTTGATTTCATTTTTAGCAGAAAGTATTTGACAAGACTTTCTTCAACTGTTACTATACATTAATTTTGTGTTGGCTGGCTCCATTATTTCTTGTCCTGTCAGACGTGTATTTATTGATTATTGTTTATTCCCTCAGGTCAGATCAGTAAGTGTTATGGATTCTATGCAAGAAGATACTGCACCTCCTTGTACTAATTCCAGCCATAAATTTGGTAAGTACAAATACTTTTTCTTTAACTAGGGGAATAATGAATATACAAGGTAATATATGTTGTTATAAAGTTTTAACATATGTTTTAAAAATTTCAAAAATATACAGTGCAAAGCGTGCATAGCTCATGGTATTTGGTGTTCATCCCTAATGAACACTGGGCTCTGGAATTATCCTGGTGTAGAAGCAGCAGTGTAGTAGTCTGGTGTGGTAATGTTGACATCTCCAAACATACTCATGTAAAAACCTGATGTTAAGGTCTCAATTTAAAATTTTTTTAAGAACATAGCTTAAACCTATTAATACTACCCACTAAATAAGGCAAACATCTTTGGTCAGAAGCCTGGCCTTTAGTCTAGGAGTTGGTTAAAATAATTATTTATTTGTTTTTAAATTAAGAATATTAAGCGTGATTTGTTTGAGCAAGGTGACTCTGTCAGGAAAATCGAAACTCACAGATACTTTGATCAGTCATAGTAATATAAAACTTCTGTTTGTGCTCTTTTCTATGTAAAAACTTTGAACGGGGGAAAAAACATAATTTAGAAGACAAAGGAAATATTTCACATGGTGAAGATTCTCAACAGAAGGAATCAACTAGTGAACACCAGTCTACCCAGAGACCAAAAAGGGGCAGACCGCGGAAGACAGTATGTTCTGCTTCAGCAAAGCAGTGTGAAAAGGATTTGAATTTAAAAGCATTGCAAGGTCTGGAAAAAAAAAGCACGCAAGAGGAGGCAGGAGAGATCAGTACTTCAACTCCAGCAGCTAAAAATGAAGGAAGAGGAAGGAGAACAAACAGTTGCATACGAGAAGAAATTGTTTCAAAGCACCCTGATCAAGAAAAAGTTGAAACTGTTTCACATGTGGAACCGCACGGACCTACTCAAAGACCAGGAAGAGGTAAAAGGAAAGAAGCAAAGGAGGTAAAGCATCCAAGTGAGAATGTTGAGTCTTGTGGCAAAGATTCTTCAGTGCTATGCAAAGAACCTGCAAATATGAAACAGACTTTGCAGAAGGATGGCATCAATGACATATTAGAAACTGCAGATGATCCAACCATAAAGACAGTAAGTGTATCTAGTAGCATTCAAAATGAAAATTGTCAGCTACAAACAGATGTAAAAACATCTGAAAGCAAATCTAATGACGGTGGTATAGAAGATAGGGAAGAAATGCTTCTGTCACCTGGGAAGAGGTTTAGAGGAGTAAAAAAAGTAGAAAACACAGAACCACTGATTCCACCTAAAAGAGGAAGAAGAGCTAGAAATGACCAAGTTAAGCAAGCTTCTTCAGAGGACATTCATGGAACAACAAGGAAGCTTCGCAAAGACCCAGCAGCAAAGATGATACAGAGAGATGAACGAACTTTTGACAAAGATACTGAGACTGCCACAGCAGAAGTATCTGAAAATGGAACTAAACTAGGAATACAGATAACGGAGAAAAGAGTTAAGTCTTTAAGAAGCGCTAGAAAGCACTCAACTGAAGTAAAAGCAGACAGTTGTGGGATGGGACTTGAAAAGATACGAAACATTCCAAAAACCGAGGAAACTTCAGCTGAAACTGATGCTGAAACACACTCATGTATCACAAATGAGATTAAAGTATCTCAGGGAGATGAAACGGAAAATGCTCAGGAAAATACCACAGAGGCATCTCAAAGATTAAAGGCAGAGTCACCTTCTGGAGAGGCAAATGAAAACCCGGTCACTGCTCTGAACTTGGAAGCAAACAGAAGTACAGTACAAGAAACAAATCGAACTAGAAACAGGAGAGGCAAAAATGGCTCTTTGGAGAAAAAGCATGATGAATTTGCCGAAGATATAAACAGCCTAGAACTAATTACTCCCCAAAATAAGTCAGAAGCAGAAATGGATGAATCTTCTCTCAAAGATTCTTTGAGCTCTATTTGTGTCAAAAATACATACCAAGTCACGAAGGACCAGAACGACCCAGCTGGCACATCAATACCTGCTGCAAACAGTGACAGTCTTGCTCGTGGCCGTCAAAAGTGGACAAGAAATGAACAGGGAATACTTAAACCAAACCAAACTGAAGTCCTGCAAGAGAATGAAACACAAACAAATCAAATTGCATGTAGAAGAGGCAGAGGTAGAAAAGTTACTTTTGAACCTGAAGAAGCCAGTTCCAAAGCAGTTGGAGGAAAAAGGAGTTTTCCTGGGGATGACAAAGATGGTCAACATGAGACTTCAGAAAATCCTTCTTTACAAGTAAGGAGGAGCAGACGAAAGCAAGTTGATTCCGTGCCACAGATAGCTTGTTCTACCTTTATGGGAAAACAAACTTTAATTGCAGATCACAGTAAAGATGAGGCTTTTGTAAAGGAGCAAGATTCGTCTTTGGGAGCTACTCCCTCTTCAACAGAAGACAATCCACTGAGACGAGGGAAAAGACGAGAGGTTGCTGCAGCATCACAAACATCTAGATCTCTTTCTATCAGAACAAGACGTGGGTTTCTAGAAGGTGATGATAAAAAGATGGCTGTGAGAGAAGATCAAAATCCAGCTTTGGGAAATGAAACTTTGCAGGCAAAAGCAAATGCATCAGCAAGGGACAAAAGGAAAAAGATTGATCTAGCAGCAGAGGCAAAAAGTTCATCTTCTCTCCAGAGAAAATGTGGCTTGTCAGAAACCGATGATAAAGAGGAGAGTACTAATGAAGAACAAAATACGCCTTTGGAAACAGCGTCCTGTGCAAAAGAGAAGCCATTAGGAAGGGGAAGAAAGAAAGAAACTGCTCTGGCATCACATACAACTAATAACATTTCTCTTAGAGGAAAAAGTGTTTTGCCAGCAGATAATGGTAGGGAAGAAGCCCCTAAAGAAGACAAAAATGTTCAGTTAGAAACTTTTGATTTATCTGTAAAAGAAAATCAACTGAGAAAAGGCAGCAGGAAAGAAATTGCTGTTTTGTTAGAACCCATAAGTTCTACTTCTATGCAGGGAAAATGGGTCTTATCAAAAGGAAGTGGTGGAAGGAATAATTATGGGGAAGCAAAAAAGCTGATTTTGGAAAATTGTACTTCCCAAGAAAAAATGGATCTTTCAAAAGGGAACTCAAGGCAAACAATCCCTTCGCTGGCTGTTAGTTCCACCTCACTTCAAGGTTTGCCAGAAGATGGTAAGAACGAAACTCCTGAAGAACAACAGGGTAAACTTTTGGACATAGCTCCATCTGCAAAAGGAAATCCATCAAGAGTGGGCAGAAAGACAAGAATTTCTTCCAAATCTGAAGAACCTAGTTCTACTTTTCTCAGGGAAAAACCTGTCTTGCCCAGAGGTAGAGGTCAAAAGAGGATTCTTAAAGAAGGTGAAGATACATCTCTAGAAAATAATTCATCCCAGGAAAAAACAAGGCAATTGAGGAATAAAAGGAAAAAGATAGAATTCACATCAGAGGCAGCTACTGCTATTTGTAAAAATGGCCACTTGCCAGAAAATGATAACACTTCAGAAACTCAGAGTGCGTGTTTGACATCCACTGGTTCCGAAAAGTATAATCAGTCTGGAAAAGGAAAAGAGGTTGACCCTACACAACAGGCAACTTCCACTTCTCGCAGAAGAAAATGTCAGTTGCCAGCAGATGATTTAGCATCCAAAAAATTAAAATCAGGTAAGGCAAGAATTTGCTTCCTGTTCTCTAAGTATAGCAAAGTTATTTATAGATATAACAATAATGTGTGCAAAACTTCAGTATTACTGTGGGCTGCCATGCTTTAACATAGATAGAGAGAGTAGGTCTTCAATATAGCAAGAAGACTGAAGTAAATAAGGTCTATGTTATCCTATGTTATCTTATATAAACAAGATGTTTTTCCTAAGTAGAAGGGATTGGATTTATGGGATATGACGTGGGGTCTTCCTCTGTTGGGGTATTCAAATGTTTTCATGCTCTCTTATAATACATTCTGTCTCAATCCATAACAATGAATTATAGCTTAGAGTAAATACAGCAACTAGCTTACATGCAGAAGATGGTGGTAATGGCAGAACATGATAATCACATGTTTGTAGCACCCGTTGTTCATCTTGTTTTCTCCTAAATACAATCTAAGCTCCTGCTTTTACGTCTCTACGTTGTGGAGTACCTTAACTAGTCATGAACTGTTTTTTGAAGTTGATGCTAGAAGGGGTTAAAGCTAAAAAGACAGCAAAACTTCCCCGTGTCTCCCATTTCCTCCTTTACTGTTTTGCTTTCCCCTAGCCTGTAGAACTCTTGCTGCAGACATCTAAAATATTCCCTACAATTTTCAGCTTGATGTGATGTAACTTAAAAACCACCATGATGCAATTAGAAAATATTATCAAATAAATGTGTGCAAATAGAAATAACAGTGAACTGTTAGAGCTACATATTGAGGAATTTCCTGCCAAAACGTGTTAAAAACTTTGTTGGGATTTGACTGTGCCCTTTGTTTCATTTCTCTTTGGCTCTTTCCCTTTTCTGTTGCATGTGTGTATCCTCATGTAGTATAAACATCTGTTTTTGCCATGTATCTGTCTTCATTTACTGAGTTTTCTTTTGTTTCCCTTTACACACTTGCTAGTTTCTTCTTCCTGCTGCTGATGCATGTACTTGCCAAACAATTGATCGCTTCCGATATACTACGTGCCCAGGTAGCTTCTTTTCCAGGGAGGTCATCTTACCCCACATGGATTTTAGTGACAGTTTCTATGTCTGGTGCTTGGGTTGATGCTTCTCTCTTGGAGCAGCTTAACTTTTCTGTGCTATCTAGGTACTTACATAGGTGTCCGGTCTTTACAGTTAATAGCCTGAGATTTCACCTTTATCTGGACCATAAGTTAGTTACTATATACTCATTTTGGTAGGATTTTTCTTCCATGCTGGATGTATTTTAGTTTTACATATCAGTGGAAAGAATTTTAGCGAAAATGGTAGCTAATTGGGTTTGGTGCTCTCATTAATGTTAACCTACTTTCAGAAATAGCTGTAAGTCCTCAGGGATCTATCTTAAAGGATATTGGATGTGCATAAGTATGGGGTTTGTAACGGGTTTGTTGAATTCATAGATGTAATCTTTGGAATGTAGTCATTAGGGACATTTCCTTTAAAAACAATCTAACTGAAGATTAAATTTTATATAAAATGTTTGATTTATGATAAAAAATTTACACATTTTTTTTTTGTGTACAAATAGAGAATGATGAAAATAGATTGCTGCAAAAAGGAAAAAGAAGCAAAACTAAAGAAGATCTTGTCAAAGAGTCTGTAAGGGCTACTCGGACTGCAGAAGGGACGGACAGGAGGACAAGATCAAGCACAAGAACAAGTGCAAGAACAAGAAAATAGGCTTAACAGTCACAGAACCAGTTTTTAAATCAATTCAGTAATTAAATTGCAGGTTTTTAATGTGAATTGACTTGCACTCAGATTTTTAAACTCAGATTTTTAAGCTCAGATTGTATAAAGCAATCACTGAACTATAATATCAAAATATATTTAAGGTGCTTACAGATGCGACATAGATATCTGTTTTAATAGGTTTGTCTATGTGTAGTGGTTCCTAAACCATGGGGTGCTTATGCGAAGCTGCAAACATAAAAATAAATCTTTTCGTAACAGTATTTATCCCTCTATTTCTGTTAATCAGTACAGCAGTCAGGAAGCCATATTGCTTTACTGCCAGTGTAATTGTAAGCTAATTTCTGCTTAAATTTTCATGTGCTTAAGTCTTTTTTTATTTCATTGCAGTTCTGTAAATATTCTTTAAAAACCTATAGATGTATTAGCGGAATTATTATGCTGAAATTTTTATATTTTTTTTTAAAAAACATAAGTTCATTGTACTTAAAAGTGCAGATTTTTAAGACATTAAATTTGTGAACAATTTGGGACTTGTGTGTTTTCTGTTCTTCAGAACAGTTACGAGTGTATACTTACTACTGTCCTCTTACAAGTGTCTTTCAAAGGCTGATTCTCTCTAGCCACACGGCATGGTTTTGAAAGTGCGCCGTGGATCTTCTGCAGTGCAGACGCTTCTCTTGTAAAGACGGCCGGACTGTGCAGCACTTCTGTGTGTAAGTGAGCGCTGGTAAGAGACAGGAGTAGTGAGTGTACGAAGGCGTGATGTTGCCCCTTTTCATAGAGTTAATTAAATGTGGAGTAGCAGTTTGGAGACCGTTTTTGGAGATTGGTGTCTGCAGTGTGAGGTAGTAGCAGTGTGCATTTGCCTTCAAGGCTGGGGCCTTCCTGTTACTGCAGAAAGGGGTAAAACTCCTCTGGGGCATCTGACTTTTGTGCACTATTAAGACCAGAATTAAAAGTCCACATTTTTATCTAGTCTGTGAGGAGTTACAGATGTTTCTACGGAAGGACAGTTGGATGCTATGTTTGGATGTTCTTTGCCAGCTCTTCTTTTTGGGAATGATAATGAATGGCACTTCCTTCAGGTGAGTTCTCATTTGTGAAGACTGTAGTTCTATCCCTTCAAAATCCAAAATAGCCAGATTAAGTAATGAATGCATTGGATGCTGTCCAGGCATTCAGAGCTCAGATGTGATATGATATGAAGGATTTTTTTAAAGTATTTTTTAATATGTGGAATGTGCTGTGTCCATATCTGTATTTTCTTAAATGCTTTGGGCACTTTATCCTGTTATAGTGCACTATTTTCTTCTAGACTTCAATTCTGGTGTGTAGATTTGGAAGTGTAAGATGCTGTAGATCTCGTCATATTTTCAAATTAGTTCATGAATCGTGCATGTATTTGCTGTACTGTAGTTAAATGCTTTCCACTGATCAGGACCAGTGGATGGTCTATTCCTTTAGAAATAGTAGCAACCCCCAAACTTTTTTGTGGTTAGAGTTGGCACATGGTGATGGTTATTGCTATAGGATTGAGGAGTCTTCTCCAGCTTTAATTTAAACCTTCCAGATGTGAGGAACATCTTTACTCAGAGTGTTTAATGGATCTATGGCACAGGATCTTCCTAACTTTCAGGTCACGTGGTTTCATGCATCTTGTCACAGCGACTCTGGCAGTAGGTCTGGACTGTTACTCTCCCAAGAGTTTTTCAGAATCATACCTGTTTTATTGGATCTATATTTATACTAAGCCCCAGCAGGCTGAGGAACTTCTCCAGTTTCCTCTCACCTTACGAAAGGGTGGTCTTTTTCCCCTTGTGCTTAGTTCATGGCTCGAAGTCTACTTAACTGCAAAACAGACTCCAAAACTCCACCTTTCATGAACCTAACGCTCTATCAGCCCCTACTGGCTGCTTCCTAGAAGTATCCCCTGTTGTTTTCAGCGAAGCCCGCAGACTATAGCCATCCACTGATGCACTGAAGGGATTTAGCATTTGTAACCCCTGGAAGTTAACGTATAGGGGATCGTTTTGTCAGAGCCCCACTATCACTATAGTGCACTTTAGGAGGTTAAAAAAACCCTAAAACACCAAAGTGTTGCAGACACGGCTGTAGGCTTAAGCTCATAAGCTATGCTATTTGAAAGTTGTGCTAAAAGGAAGATTTTATTGTTAATGTTGATGATGTAGCATTTCTTACCCTCTTTCCCAGCATCTGACATTCTTATGGAAAAGAGGGTCATTGTCTCCTAGCTGAATGTTTTGCAGAAGATGGCTAGATCTCAGCAGAGAACAAAGACAGGAAGAATTAGTGACGCACATTATCAAAGAACAACGTCCAGAGAAAATGAAATCCTGAACATGGTATCAAGGTGAACGCGTTGGAGAGCACTGCTGTATGTGTCATTGTATTCATCTGTGTATCTTAAGTTGCAGAGGATCTTTCTGTTTGGAGAACTCTCCTTTTCCTTGGCGTTC